GTGCATTTACACACATTGTAGGCATTAATATTCATACACAAAAACGTAAATAAATAAAAATTTTAATGCAGATTCTACATAAGTTATTACATGAAAATTCCATTGCCAAGGGTGAGATACACCCCTATGAGCTGATGATCAGGCAGGGCCCTAAAGTCCCCAAAACAATACAGGCAAAGACCATATTGCTAAAGAAATCACACAACTTCGTCGGAGGACACAGAGAAATCAAGCTGGAACTGGGCTATCCCTCACACTTCTAGAAGCTATGCCAGCTGATGGGGGAGAACTGCTGTAAGCAATCTTACTCAGCTATGAATCCTGTGCTCAATACGAACCACCAAGGCAAGATGAGCCCACTGGTATAAAAATGCCAAGTCTGTTATGGGGGTAGCCAACCACTGCCTGATTGGATCTGAAGCCAACTCCACAAGAAGAAATTTGCATCTGGCACTATAAACCCAGTCAAAAGCTGAGGAGGTCACAGGCCCTATGAGGGAAGTTATTGCTGCTGTTTTGCAAAATGAACATGATACACCTGTCAAACTGCCTTCTAAATAACTGTGTTTATGCCTGTAGATAAGTGCTGCTGTCAGCTTTGGTCAGAGAAGCTTCTATTTGTTTTGGTCAGCAGTGACTACAGAGCCTCCAACTGTGAATGCCCAGCCATAAATGGGACATCTATATCACCTAACCCAAGGTCCAAGAACATCACAGAAGGGACAAAAAGACTGTAAGAATCAGAAGAAGCAGGGGTATTAAGAGGGGGTGTTGTGAAATGCCAACATCCAGGCTGTTGCACTCCTGAAGTCATAGCAGCTGTGACTACCTGTGTAAGACCACAAGAATGGAGGGAGAGAGATGGCTAATGGGTAGGATGGCTTGCTACGCAAGCACGAGGACCTGAGTTCAAATCCTCAGAACCTATGTACAAAGTTGGAAATGGATGCCTATGCCTATAACCCCAGCACTGGAAGTAGGAAGAGAAGTGGATCCTGAAAGCTTGCTGGCTAATTAGCCTGTCAACAGGAGTCAGACACCCCATCTCAAGGAATAACTTACATCGTGCTCTAGCCTTCACATGCAGGCTCATATCTGCAAACCTGCACATTCACTTGCATGCATCACATACACAAACATATACACAAAACACACACAGGCACGCATGTGTGCACTCACACCCTTGTGCATGCGCACACACACACACAATCACAAGATTGGTCCTATCAAGACTCTGTCATTGAAAGGGCAGGAACTCATGGGGCCCCATCTCTTCCAGAAGATTTATAGGCAGTTAATAGTTGATGGGTGAGGGAGAGTGGTATAGACACTCGTCAGATGCCTGCCCATGCTCCTATAAACAGCCCTAATGAATCTCACTGAGCCAGAGAGAGAGAGAGAAAACATGAAAACAGAAGGGGGGCTAGCTGGGAAAAGGAAGGTGATTAGTGAGAAAGGGACAAGAGAGAGCAACAGGGTGAACAGGATCAAAACATGTACATGTAGGAAACTGTCTTTATGAAACCCATTATTATGTATTAATATATGCTGATAAAAACATGTTTTTAAGGGGCTGGAAAGATGGCTCAGTGGTTAAGAGCACTGACTGCTCTTGCAGAGGACCTGGGTTTGAGTCCCAGCACCCACATGACAGCTACAAACTGTCCTTAACTCCAGCTCCAGGGAAATCCAACACCCTCTTCTGACCTCTGAGGAATTGCACGACACAGGTGCATTCACATACATGCAGGCAATACGCCTGTACACATAAAATAAAAATAATAAATTAAAAAAAAACATGTTTTTAAAAAAGACCAAAAAGCCAGGCATAGTGACGCATACCTTTGATCCCAACACTTGGGAAGCAGAGGCAGGCAGAGCTCTGTGAGTTCAAGGCCAGTCTGGTCTACATAGTTGAGTTCCAGGACAGCTACAGGGAGACTGTCTCAAAAAGGCCAAAAAAAAAAAAAAAAAAAAAAAAAGACCAAAAAATGAAGATTCTGATTCAGAAATTTTTCAGTTAGCCTTGAAATTGTGTAGTTCTACCAAACCCCCAGGTGCTACCATAAACCACATTTTGAGTGACAAGGGGGGAGAAAAGAACACTGGTATAGCATACGCTCTACAAAGTTTATAATTGTGGATTTATAGGTAATCAGTCTCATCAGAAAAAGCAAACAAAAGACCTCAAGAAGCACAGCTGCACTACATGTAATTAGCCATTCCCTAAAACACTCTCAAACTAACTGACAACACCCGCCACTGGCACAGAGTCAAAGAAAAGAACAAGGACTAGGATTATAACTCAGTGGTCAAGTGTTTCACAAGCATGTGCAAATGCCTGGATTCACAAAATTCACCTCCAACATCACAAAAATAAAATAACAAAAATAAGGCTAGAGAAGTCACTCAGTGGCAAAGCATCTGTCTAGCATGTGCAAGGCTCCAGGTTCAATCCCAGAATGCAAAAATAAAATAAAGTCCAGCGTGGTAGCACACATCTATAATCCCAGCACTCAAGAGGCAGAGGCAGGTGGATCTTTATAAGTTCAAGGCCAGTTTGATCTAGATAGTGAATTCCAGGCCAGTCAGGGGTACACAGGGAGACCCCATCTCAAGAAATAATATATAATAAATTAAATAAATAAATAAATAAATAAATAAATAAATAAATAGGGGGCTGGAGAGATGGCTCAGTGGTTAAGAACACTGTTCTTGCAGAAGACCCAGTTCAAATCCCAGCACCGACATGGCAGCTAACAACTGTCCATAACTCCAGTTGCAGGGGATTCAACAGCCTCTTCTGTCCTCCGCGGGCATTGTACCACACAGGTGCACTTACCTACATGCAGGCATAACACTCATACACATAAAAATAATAAGAGGCTAGAGAGATGGCTCAGCGGTTAAGAGCACTGATTGCTCTTGCAGAGGACCTGAGTTCGATTCCCAGCACCCACATGGTGGCTGCAAATCATCCTTAACTCCAGTTCCAGGGGAATCCAAAGCCCTCTTCTGACCTCCGCGGCACTGCACAACACGGGTGCCCTCACATACATGCAGGCAATACACTCATACACATAAAATTAAAATAATAAATA